CGGGAATACTGGTGGTGATGTATGAATGAAGCAGGCGCAGTCGGTCCGCAGGGGTCAATGTGGCTTCACCCACGGGTCGTTCGAGAGCAGGCATACTAGCGGCGCTTACACTGTGGAGGAAATCCTCGGTTCTCTGCCGGTCCACGAGCTCCTTCATCTTGTCCCATGAGCAGCGAACAAAAATGAGGAGCTCGCTCGGGGTTGCGCCGGACTTGCCGACAGCCTCGAGCCCACCTGCGGTGAGCTGGGAGAGGAGAGAGGTATATGCTCGTTCTGCATCTTCCGACTCAGTGCGGGATTTGGGTGAAGTACGGAAGATGAGGATGAGGTCGACGGGAGATGGTGTGGTCATCTTGTTGGTTGTTGATTGTTGTGCTCGTCGTTGAGAGACAGGATGCGAACTAGCGCCGACCACCGAACGCGTGGAAGAGGGACGGAAAGAACGATCGCCCCTCTTCTTGGGTGACATCACCGCCCCATTGCTCCCGAGGACCCTATGTTTGCAGGCGCCGAAAATAGCGCGCCCAACTCGCTTAGTAAGCGCCCAACTTGGTCCATGTGAAAACGTGACCAAGCCGCACCGGTCTGAGGGTTTGTTTCCGGTGCATGTGATAACCGGTTAACGTTGGAGATCATAAGCAGCACCGACTTCCCCGCATCCGCGTCTCCTCTCTCTCAGCCAGCTCTGCTGAACCTCTCCTCTTCCTCCTCGACCTCCTTGTTGTCTCCTGTTACTTCAACTAGTAAAATGGCACAGTCTCGCCTCTCTCAACTCACCAGCCAGATATCTACCAGCCTTGGTGTGGGCAAGGCAAAGCTGCTCATTCCCTATGACAATGATGTCGTGATCGTCGCGGCGAAGAGGAGCGCTATCACAAAGGTACGTTCGCAGCATTACAAATCCAGTAATATTCTCATATGCAGTTGTTCAGGCGAAGAAGGGTGGATTCAAGGATACTTGCCCCGAGGAGATCCTCTCTGGTGTCCTTCGTGCCGTCTACACCTCCGTCAACCTCGATCCTTCTCTGATTGAAGACGTCGCGGTTGGGAACGTTCTTCCCCCCGGTGGGGGAGCCAGTGCAGCGCGTATGGCCTCCCTTCACGCCGGAATTCCGAATACTACAGCTGTCAATACCCTTAACCGCCAGTGCTCCAGTGGCTTGGCTGCCGTGAACCAAATCGCAAACGAAATCAAGACCGGGCAGATCGACATTGGCATTGGTGAGTCTCAAATACCGGTTGTATGCTCTAATATATCCTAATTAAATTTCAGGTGCCGGTGTCGAGAGCATGACCAAGGGTTTTGGTCCTCAGTCCCTCCCCACCGAGTGGTCCGAGGCTGTCCTGTCGAACCAGGAAGCCGCCGACTGTCTCATCCCTATGGGCATCACCTCCGAGAATGTTGCAAAGGAGTACCGCATCTCCCGTGAAGCACAGGATGCATTCGCTGCATCCTCGTTTCATAAGGCAGCTGAAGCCCAGCAGGCTGGAAAGTTCAGGGAGGAGATCATCCCCCTGCAAGTTAAGTGGATCGACCCTAAGACCGAGGAGGAGAAGATCATGCTCGTCGAGGCCGACGATGGCATTCGTGGGGGTGTCACAGCCGAGTCTTTGGCCAAGCTCAAGCCTGCTTTTGCGAAGGACGGTACCACTCACGCGGGTAACGCCTCCCAAGTCTCTGATGGTGCCGCTGCCGTCCTCCTTGCTCGCCGTTCAGTCGCCAAGAAGCTCGGATTGCCCATCCTCGGCAAGTTTGTCGCTGCCGTCGCTGTTGGTGTACCGCCTAGGATCATGGGTATTGGCCCTGCTGCTGCTATTCCAAAGGTGCTCCAGAAGGTCGGTATCAGCAAGGACGACGTCGACTTCTATGAGATCAACGAAGCCTTCGCCTCGCAGGCTGTTATGAGCGTGGAATCCATCGGCATCCCGTTCGAGAAGGTCAACCCTGTAGGCGGAGCCATCGCTCTTGGACATCCTCTTGGTGCCACTGGTGCAAGGCAGATCGCGACTGGATTTTCACAGGCCAAGAAGACCGGTGCGAGGATCTTCGTCACCAGCATGTGCATAGGAAGCGGGATGGGCATGGCTGCCGTGTTTGTCAACGAGCAGTAGTCGGATCAAGTTGCTTCTGCAATACATCACGTCAGAGGAGCTACTGTAGCAGGATGGATCGCATGTATTATCGATAACAATTGCATTTCGTTGTCCCGTCAAATGCACACCAATGTCTCCTGCTGGGACTCTTCTACCTCCGGGACGCAAGCAAGGCAAGTAGCTCATAAACCCATGTCATAGATTCATATGGCTTATTCTACTGTACAACAACATTTGGAAAAGGCTAGGTATTAGTTCAGCTATCTTTCGTATGAGAAAGCGGACACTTTGCTTGATGACAGTCATAGTCGAAAAGATCGGCACTAGAGCCCAATTGAAAGCCAGAACACGCAAGAAGCTCACCAGCAGACCCAACACCTCATGCCCAAAGAATGGGCAGGGAACAACCTGCCAGACACCTCCGCGCTGAGAAAGCTAGGAGGGCAAACCACTGTTTAATCATCCCCCGTCAGGTCAACCGGACACGACTCCGTCCCTCCAGTCCAGGTCTGCATGTCAACATCCATCCCACTATCCTCCATACCGTGCGCGCCGCCACGCTCCAGCCTAGGCTTCTTACTTGAGGACACCCACTCAATTTCTGCTGATCGTTTCCTCAGCCAAGGACCGGTTGGGTTCTCAACCATCCGTGTAGCTTGTGACTCTGGCTTTCCTGTGTCGAAACCATCGCTACTCGGCACGCATCGCACTGACAACGGCGTTGTATGCCTCGGCAGGGCGCCTCCCACAGGCGCAGGCGAGAGATATCGCACGTTCTCCCCCTCCACACCCTCGTCGAAGACTGTGAACGTCTGGTAATACGGTCTTGTCTTGGTTTGCCCATGCCGTTGTTTGCGACGTTTTCCGCGCATCGAGGAGCCGGGTTTGCTTAGTGCGGGAGGGAGCATGGATGCGAGGTACATCTCGATGTCTACAGGAGGGGGAATGTAGACTGAAGTGTCGCTCGAGCGTCGAGCAGGTGGCGGGTTGGTCGTTCGTACTGGCTCTGGCTGGGGAGGTTGAGGCATGTCGACCCGCTGCGGAACGACGGGAGGAGGTACAACAATCGATGCAGATGCAGCCGGCTGCGCGGTAGATGGCGTCGAGGTCGAGGCCGCGCTCTGAGCAGCAGCCTCGTTCAATCTCGAAGCCTGGCCAAAATACTGCGGACACAGCTTGCTAACAAGAAGTCCCGAATCTCGGTGCGGCATGTCGGTCAGACTCAAACGAGTAACCTCGGCCACAGGCGCACTCTGAGCCTCTCCTAGGTCGCTAGAGGCAGGTTGAGCATTGTTGAACCTTGCCGCTTGGTTGAAGTACTGTGGACATAGTTTCCGCACCAGCAGATTAGAGCCTCCCGAGGCACTGGTGTTCAGGCTCGGCCATGGGAGGTTCTGACGGGCACTGGCCTCTTGCGCTTGATTGAACGGTTGGTTGAAGGGATGAAGACGGGCACGGGCCGCTTCTACAGCCGCTTGTCCGGCTTGGGAGGGGTTCTTGTGCAGGTTGAAAGTGTGCGAGGGCCAGGTGGATGTAGGGACTGCGGGACGCTCTGGAGGCGTGCTGCTTGATGGCGTGGGGTCTTGTGTTCCTGTTGGTTTCGCTGGTGTTGGGGCTGCTGAAGTAAGGGCGGGAGGTTGAGGTTGAGTCACGGATTCGCCTTGGAAGTGAACAGGTCCGCTCGGCGCTGTCGGGGGTGTTACCGATGGGGAAGACACAATGGTCCTGTTAGATCCTGGTGACCCATGCGTCTGTTGAAGACTTGCGAGGGCAAAGATTGCCCCCTGCTCGCTTGGGGTAAAGGAGAATATATCACGTGTTGGTGCTGATGCTACGGACGGCGAATTCAGGGGCTGGGGCGGCTCGTTTTTACTTGCTATTGCTTCGGCCAACAGCATATACATGTTATCGGCGTGCCATACGAGCCTCCTGGGCGATAATGACAACGTGTCAGTGATCATAAACCGTGACATAGCGCGATCACATACAGATAGTCATCCGCGTCCTTCAAGTAAACACACCTGGTGGAGTCAAGGTGATCGATCAGTATCGCCACGGAATCTAGCGATATCTGCACCAGTGACATATGTTTCCTATACTCCCAGTCGGGCTTATCCCCCGCAGGCTTGGGGTGAAAGACAGTCGATATGTAGATATCGCGAACGACGGGCATGCTCTGAGGCCCATAGCGCGTCAAGACGTGGTTGTTTAATACCTCGGCGAGATCCTTTGACAGATCAGCAAAACTTCGTGCGACAGGCTGCGGGCAAGCCCATTCCACGATGATACACGTATATTGCTTCGATTCGATTCGCTTGGGCTTCTCCAGGTTCAGAGCACAGATGTCGGACGGGAGGGCGGCTACGAGCTGCTCCTTGCTGTGGGCATCGCGGGCAGCGATATGGTGCTTATAGGCGAAGGATGGAAAGAGTCCGGGAGGGTGCCAGGTGCAGTCTGGGGGAAATGAACGGTGCACTAGCGCGCAGCCGCAGAACATCTGCTCGGGGTCTGGTTCTGCCATCTGCAAGGTGGTCGAGGTGGTCGAGGAGGAGGAAGGGATGATGCGCGCGCCAGTCACCGTCCAATGAGATGATGAGCCACTGACACGGATAACGGAAACAGAAGGAAAAAGAACGGCGCGTGACGTGGAAGAAAAGGAAAATTTCATTTTAGGCCGAAGAAGCCGTTCTTCCGACTCAAACAAAGTTGCAGAAAACGTGTAAGAAGGGGACATCTGCCTCCGATTGGCCCTTGAACTGCCTTTTTGAGATGACTATCAAAGGAATGAAAGAAAAGAAGCAACAACTCGAGGCATCACGTAGGCTTTGATATTGGATCCCCGTTAGACGGCGTATCTGTTGGACGTTGTGGGTGACGTATCTGAGACACGTGACCCAGTTGCCCTAGTTACCATCATCATCACCATCACTACTTAGCTCTTTACCAAAAATGCAGTCAGAGTCATTGCTATCTACCTCCTAGGCCTCTGCCTCATTCGCTGTTTCTCGTTCTCTGTTCCCGTACCTCGTTTGCGTCCCGTATGCTGCATTGATGAATTACTCGCTCCATCCGATAAACGTTTCTTTAAATTATTGAATTACTAGTTACAGCAGATCGATCCGATCTTCTACCGCGGAATGTGCGTCCATTCGCCGCAGAAGAGAGTAGCTGCGATGTGTGAAGGATAAGGTGGAAGAAGCGAGAAGTGCCGTCAGTTGTGTGCCCTGCTTCTCTTTCCAACTCTGATCCCCTTCTTGCACATCTGGCACTTGTACACCTCATATCCTTGCTCACTCCATTGCGCCAACATGATGTATGTCCTCGAGAGGATATACAAGTACTATCGTAGCGTTGAACCCAGAATGTTGGCCGAGTTCAACGCATCTAGTTCGCTTCCAGCCCGGTCACTCTCCCAACACCCCCATTCCTTCCCCATTCCCAGCAATCCAATACCCAAACGTCGTTCCCATCGCCCCACTATTTGGAAAGCCGAACAGCGACTAGAAAGAAGATAACAATGACATGAGGCTGCTCTATCGATGAACGGGGCTGAAGTTCGGGTGGCTGGCTTGTCCATTGGATGTGTTAGAGGATGAGCAGGTCATGGGCGTTTAACGGACCTGGTTGTACGTCTCTTGGTGTACCATCAATGCGCCGCATAGTTCTCATCACCGCCCTCGCAGCGCTCTTCTCCGCGCTAGCGTTTCTCAGGCTTGTCCTCTTCCCGTCGCCCTCCTCTATCTCCTTCTCCATCCCAGCCTATGCAACCCCGCCTTCACAGCAATACACCTCCCTCCAACGAGGGCACTGGGAGCCGTCCCCTCTCTCCTCACACGCCGCACTGCAAGCTCAATTCGGTCCTCTGGGTCCTTCCTGCTTCCCCATTCCCTCTCCTTTGCGCAACTTAAGCGCAGAAGAACTGCATGCAGAGGGGGAAGCGCGCAAGGTCGTGGTGAGCGGGTGGGAATGGGTGCCAGAAAGGGGGAGGATGAGGCCTTGGGATGCAGGACGAGTGCTTAGAAGGCTTGTCAATTCCGAGCGTGGGCTGTTGTTAGTCGGCGGTGAGCACTTTCTTGCAGAAGGTAGGCAAACACTGACATCCGCACAGATAGCATCACAGGCCAGATGGCAGCCACCCTGCACTCGATGCTTCTCCTCCCACCCCTTTCCCAAAAGACACCAACACACATCCCCCTCCTCCTGCCCAGTACCGAGCTCAGCGGCCCGCCACACCACGCCCTCCTCCGCCTCTCCCTCACGCTCAACCCCTCCCATCCATTTACCGCCTATCTCCGGCATGCCCACCCCTTTATCCCGTCTTCCAGGTTCTCTAATCCTGTCGTCGGGTTTCTGAGGAACGATCTCCTCCTCCCCTTCCCTGAGATTGAAGCTCTGTTCCTTTCCCAAGGCATAACAGGCTGGGTAGGCGAGCAAGCCGGGTTCTTCGCGCAGCAACCCTGGTTCTCTGCACTCCCCTCCTCCCCAAGCTGGGAAGGGGAACAGCCCTCCCTTCTAATCCTGAACACGGGTGCCCACTGGACTCCAGACCACTTCTACATGCCTGCAGGGGAGTATATACAAGGGTACGCAGCGCTTGTGCACTCCCTGGCTCCTCGGCTGCTGGCCAATCCCAAACTGCACACGGTATACCGTACGATCTCCCCCCCTCACACCGGCTGCTCGCGCACATCCGGCCCCGTATACCCAGCCCAGCCTCCAAATCCAAAGCAGTCAAACCCAGCCTGGGGATGGCTGGCCTTCCCCCTCCTGGACACTCTCTGGCGGGAAGAACTAGACGCGCTCGCCCCTTCCGGCATTACTCAGGCTGGGGGGAGAGTAGGATGGCTAGATGTAGGGGAGATGGCAGGCCAGAGACCGGACGCGCACCTCCTTGCGGTGACCGAGGGAGGGGAGGTGGACTGCATGCATTGGTATGGAAATGGGGTGGTGGGGGAGTGGGTGAGGATGTGGTGGGAGATGGTTGAGGACCCGTGATGATTGTCCTCTTGCAGAGATGTTCCATTTGTTCCATGTACGTGTAACATTATCTGTACATGTAAGTATATTGACAGTTGTGATGACACCCAGCATCGCGGAGGATCCTCGTACGTGATCAAGGACGTTTCTCAGATGAGATCTCCCTGTAATGTCCCAGTACTTGCATACAATACATTGCTGTGACCCCCCCCAAAAAACCAAGCATCTGTCCACAACGGAGCCTCCACTCCCCCTAGAGGATATGCCAAACCATTTTCGCCCATGTCCCCGGCACTGTAGGCCCATACCAATGCAAACAATCTCCCTTCCCATCAAACCCGAGCACATGATCCTCCGGTCGCTGCGCACTCATTTCCCTCACATCTAAAATGTCCACTCTGCCACCAGCACTCCCCTTCCCCTCTGGGGCAGCCTCGTCCAGCTGCTCAGCCCACACCTGATCCAGAACAGGAAAGTGCGCCCAGCCCCAATCATACTCATGCGCCGGGTCTACAGGCAGGCCGGGAAAGACCGGCGCCGTGTGCTCGTAGCAGTTCGTATGGGGTGAAGCGGTGCCCCGATATACAAGGTGCAGCTTAGGTGTCCCCAGCAACTCGGGCAATAGATGCCGCACTACGGCCCGGTAGCCTTCGGTATACGCTGCCTGGGGCACGCCCCATCTTGCGGGGGACCAGTGGGCACCAGTGTTGAGCACGAGAACGCTATCCTGTTCTCCGTCCCAGCGCGAGGGGTTATTAGGCAGCCGGACGCGCCAGGGAAATTGGGAGGCGAATGGCCCGTACTCAAACGGAGCATGCGTGAACCCCACTTGCTCGAACACAGGCTCCAGCTCAGCGTACGACAGCAGGAGGTCATGCCGCATATACTGGACGATAGGCTCTTGAAATCTCTCCTCGAGGATGTGGGGAAACTGTGCGCGGAGCTCGGCGTATAGAGGGTGGAAAGGATGGAGAGTGACATTCATGTGATCGATGACGACGTGTGTACCAGTGGTGTAGTGCGCGCTAGGAAGGATTGCAGGGTAGGAGTTGTCTTCGGATCCGGGAATGGGCAGGAGCAGCATCGAGTAGAGCACGTCCGCCATTTGCCCTGTGAGGGAGTCTATAAGAGGTGTCGCGGTCAGTTTGCGGTGATCATAAAGTGGATATAGGGAAAACGTACCTCCAACAAGGAGCATTCCGCGCTCTGAATTGACCAGCCGTGCGATGAAGTTCCGTACATTCCACTCTCTCATCTTGGCTCCACCAGGCAATGATGGCACCCATTCCCAGCTCGTGCAGCGAAGTAGCCGCTCCCGACCGAGTTCTTCTCGTTCTGAATCTGAAAGGAGTTGCAGGTCTTCTCGGAACGCAGGTAGGCAGTAGTGTCCATGCGAGCCCCAGAGGGTGTGCAGCGCGGGCAATGATCCAGGGGGAGAGGCGAGCTGGTGCCAGCGGCCGGAAGAGAGTGGCCGGTATTTGACTGAAGGGGGGAGGGTGGTTGGTTTGGGAGGCGGAGGAGGCAGGGATGAGGAGATGACAGTTGGCTCTGGGGCGGAGGTCGAAGATAAAGATTGAGCGACACCGGGGAACAGAAGCTGTTCAGCCGTGTGCCGCGCTTCCTCTGAATCGGAGGGCTCGCTCACTGGTACAGAGACAGGAAGGTTTGTTTCATGCTCGAGCGGCACATGAGCAAAGGAGAGCCTACTGGGCACGGCAAAGGAGTATTGCGCCGTCGCTTGATGTCTGACGTAGAGGATCACAGCCAGGACAGCCAAGAGAGGAAAAAGCAGCGCTCGTCGACGATTTATTAGAGGAGGCATCCTTCCAGATTCCAAGCCAACTGCCGTCTTGGGGGGGGGGGGAGAGAACAAGAAGAGAAGGGGGGAGAGAGAGAAAGTTGCGGGCGCTTTACGATGGCAGCACATAAATTGCTCTCAACAGCCTGGGGGTTCTGTCAAAGTCTGCAGAACAGCCTAGGCGCATCTGTCGCCATCTGTCATCCACCAGAAGAAGAAGAAAAGCCCCAACGGCGCTTTGGCGGCGAGGCTGAATGGGTTGCGGCGAGGAAGGACTCGGAGGGGTCGGCGTCCGGCTATCGCCCTCCGTGGCGCCAGGCCCTTAGCGTTACGGCAGGCAGAGTAATATTTGAGGTTTCCTGAGCATCCAGGAGGTACCGTTGCCATAGATTGGAAGGATCAGCAGCAGATGTCTGGCAGTTATTCCATTGTTCTGAGCAACACTGATAAACATTTGGGAAGGTTGACATGTGGCGCCTTCTTCCAAAGAAATTCTTTGGATTATTGGAGCACGTGACTTGAACCCTGGTGCCTGCCAAGCCCAACCATATCCTTTCAACAGATAATAGTACTAGTGAGAGGAGTACGTAGTGGAGGCAAAGGATGCCAAATACAGCGTTGGGAAATTGCACAATACAAATTTCTTTCCCTCAGCTGAAATACCATCAACAGTCCAAACAGCCATTACCAGCCACCCGTTTTGTGGTAACGGAAGCGCTTTTAGTTTGAATTGATCCCGTGCACCACTTTGATCGGAATCAATCTATCAGGCTCTGTTCCTTGTTGTTTCTGCTTAACTTCTTGAAGCTGTACTGTACAATGGCCCTATGTTGTAACAAATCTTGAATTACATCTAACTGGTATTTATGAGTCTTCGGGATCTGGGACTTGACGGATTGGCTTTGCAGCCCCGTGTTGCTGCTATTCTCACAAAATTGGTTCACGAGCGAGACGAGTTGAAGAAGCGGACACGGCACGACAAAGCTCGAGTATACTCGGTATTCTGCGGATTGGTTCCGGAACTGAGTCCTTGTTCAGATACAATCATTACAGCAAGAGGTGGAAAGGGTCACTTCGCTTGCTGGGGACTTGCAGGATTCCTTGCGAGATACCTCGGATGCCCTCAGCGAGACCAGACTTGATCAACGTAAACAAACAAGTTCTTTGGCCCGATCCAACACTCTCCTCACACAACGGATTCGCAATCTTGAATCTACTGTCGTTGATCTGCAGCTCGAGAGAGATCGCTTGACCGAAGCTGTTGAAAGGCTGATTGAAGAAGCTGAAGGGAGGATAAGTTCTCATGCCTCCTGGCCTATGCTAAATCCCTTTTGCAGTGCACGGGCTTAGAAACCTGTCTGCCCATTGTGTTCTCCATCGACTTGACCCGCATGTCAGTTCACTGTCGTACGATCGTCAGCTTCATCCTGCAAATGCCTTTGATCAGCCATCTGAAGAATATGCCGCATCTCTTATTTCTTCCCTGGCAAGGCGGCTGGACGCAACACAGGATGCAATGGAAGCTTTTCAGGAAGACTCAGAAACTAGCGTTAGCATCCAAATCTTTCCTCCTTTACGGTTGCATCTGACAAGTGAAAAGATTGCAATCTTGGAGGCTCGAGTAGCAGATCGAGAAGCACAACTTTACGGGTTCCTGGTGTCATCCGATCAGACACAGCCAGGGTCGCAGCATTCACAAGGGCAGCTGCATCGGCCACTACCGGTTGAAGCATCTCGAATATCCGGAGTGCGCACTGATATCCTTCAATCTGAGCTCGAGGACGATGTGCGACGTATTGCGCAGAAGGTGAGCCATGAGTCTAATAGGTCGGATGTCTTATCAATCTTTTGCATCAGTTAGAAGAAGTGAGAGCATCTGTGTCGCACATCACTACAAGAGATTTGCCGGGAAGCGTGCTTCCATCGACTGTGCTCGCGAACAACATATTGGAAGATCTAAACACCCAACCACCCAACTTTTCTTCAGAGACAATGGACGCCCCAGAACCTGGTAATGCGCTCAAACTGGAGATCACCCCGAAAGAATCAATGCAGCCGCTGCCTACTAGTATGAGCCCCAAATCGCCGCGACGCAAATCGGTGCTGAAGGACTTGGATGCTGAGATTGGCCGACTGACAGCGGATCTGCATGACCTTGAGCTAGAGAGGGAAACAATCTTACGAGTGTCTAGCAACCCTGTTGAAACCAACGACGTGAGTTGTTTGCTGTCATACTCCCCACACCTCATATTCCCCCAGCCTGCGACTGGACAATTCCCCCAACATGAAGTTGGACTCGGTATCTCACTTCATCCACTTTCCGCTGCATCACATGACAGCCCCAGAGCGCCAGCTCAGGAACCTGGACCTCCATCCCCTCAGCCGCATCACGCGCCGCTTCCCATATCCCCGGAGGACACGACCCTCGCCTCCTACTCCGAGGACAAAAGCCGTGAAATGACGCCGGAGCTGTTCTCTTCTCTTTTTGTAGACCGATTGGAACTCATCGATCCCGCGAAACTTGAACAACAATTGGTAGACGCTCAGACGGCTCTGATCGCGAAAGAAGCTCATCTCCGCCGCCTGCAAGCCGAGCTCGAAACCATGCTCGTCTATCCACATGGTTAGGTCTCACGCAGTGCATCCAAGGTATGTCTGTTCATTCATTACAAGCATACAAGCATACGAGACTAACGGGTATCCTACAGTCCAAGATTTGCACGCCTAGAGGGCAATACCGATTTCCTGCCGTTTGACAGGAGAGTTGAGAGCTCTGATACTCTTCCTTCTGGCGATTTCGCTCTGCTTCGCCCTTCTTTGGAGCTCCATGTTCGGACGAGCAAGCCCGGCAGCAGCCTTGAGTCCCAGAGACCGCCTGGAGGAGGTCCTAGTTGCGAGTGAATGTTTCCTAGGCGATGGGGTTCCAACAGCAGCAGCAGCATTGCGCCTCTCGTTAAGCTTGCTGATGACGTGAGCGCGCGAGATCCTCGGTTTACGCTTCAAGCCCGTTTTGGAAGGAGAAGGCTTTGCAGGAGAAAGATGGTGGAAGAAGGGCTTAAGAGGGGAGGAGAACCTGAGTGACCCGGGGCGGGGGACGGAGGCGGTCGGCAGGCCTCGCTTAGATCGGATGGTCAGAGGGGTGCGGGGAACGCCAGTCTTTGGGGTGGGGAAAGCTTGCGCCTCCGTGGGGGGACGGAAGGGGGAGAACGGCTCTTCAGGCCGCAGCGTAGCTTGCATACGCGCCAGAGAAGAGATTGTAGGTGCATGTAGAGTAGATTTCTTGGCTGTCAGAGGTGGTTCGCGTTCGCCCTTGTTCATTTGTATCTCTTTCATCGCAGCATGTGCCCTGAATGCGTCGTTCTTAGCCACCTGCGTAGCAGGGAAAAATGGCATGTTCTCCTTGTCGCCCTTATCATGGAATGTGGGGGGAACCTTCCGCACCGGCCCGGAGGGGATGCGCTGTTTCGTCGCGCCCGTACTGTTAGTCGAGCTGTTACTGGCGGTACGCCTTGTATCAGCGCGCGAAGCCGACGGTGTCCTCCCGGCCACGGCCAAGGGCCGACCTTGAGCAGCCGAAAGCCCTGCATAACCTTTCTTCGTCACATTCGGAACCGGTACAGGGAGCGCAGTTGGAGGAAGGACGTTCTTGGGCTCGTGTTTCTTCTCCTGCTTGCTGGGATGGCCGTGCTTGTCACCACCCTGCGCACTCCCGCCTGACCCGGAGGTCGCTGAGACTGGCACTTCTAGGAGGTTCAACATCCTCGGCGCGGGAGGTACAGGCATCACTTTCATCCCTGCCTTTACCGTTGTCCCGGCGACTGTGCTAACTGGGCCGGTGGAGAAAACACCTTTGAAAGCGTTCGCGGTCCGGCCTAAGAAAGTCGGTTTCCCAGGTGCAGCCGTCGTCGCTGTTCCCGTCCCAGCCGTAGTGCCCGTACCCCCTCCGGTAGTCGACAAAAGGTCCACCGGCAAGCGAGGCAGGCTCGGCCGGCGAGTTAACGACCGCCTCCTGAGAGCCGAGTCTAACTTCCTCCTCTGAGCAGGGGTGTCCCTCACCCTCACCCAGACTTCCGCTTTCCCTCCCGGGACAGCGGTTGGTGCTTCGCTAGTCCCTTCCTGCATCTTCCGCCTTTTGGCCCTTTGCGCGCCTTCGTCCTCTTCTCCATCTTCGCTCCGTTTAGCCGCTCCTGCTGTCGTAGAACCAGTAGGCGCGCGAGAAGGAGCAGAGATCGGATGGGTAGACTTGCGTTTCTTCTGAGCTTGTGGTTGTTCTTCCCTCACACCAACACGAGACTCCGGCCTGCGAGCTGCATAGTGGGTAGCGATAGAGTCCATCCTTTGCCTCGTCAGCCCGTGTCTCCGTCAACATAAAGCAGAAAAACACTAACAAATTGAAGCCTTTCTGATGACTCTTCTCAAACCTTGTCTTCTTCGACTGTTCTTCTTGCCCAGCGCTTTCCACCGCCGCGATACTCTCCCAGTCCCCGCCAAAGCTTTTAGTAGGGACCGCTTTACCTCCCGCTGCGACAACCCGCTTGTTGAGCTCGTCCAGTACGTTTCGCGTCACTTTCGTAAACTCCGCCTTCGATACTCCCCTCTGTGGCGAACCGAATATATACTGGAATGGGGTTGACGCCTCCTGCGCGGGCGCGGGAGGGGGCGTATAACCTTGTCCAGGCTTGTAGGGGGAGGGGAGTGGGTCAGTTGGCTTGTGCAGCCTACGCGGGGACGGGAACACGGAATGCTGGTCCGCATGGGCGGGGAAGGCGCCCGGTAACTCTGGGTCCAAAGGAGGGTACATGCGAGGAACGTCATCCACTTCCTCCCTGAGGGTCTCGGGCAAGACGGGGAACATAGAGCTCAGGAGCTGGTGGCTTTGGTCTTCCCGAGCGGGACTGTCTTGAGCACGTTGGGAGGAGACAAGTCGGATTGTTTGCGCTGGAGAATCGGTATTGGCGAATTGAGGAGCGGGGAGAGGTCCGAGCTCGTCGACTTGCATCATACTGCCGTCGATGTTGGTGTTGGTGTTGATACTCTGTGCATCTGGTGCACGCGGGAGGAGGAGCGTCTCCAGGCTATCATTTGGCAGGGAAGGCTTGAAATCCGCCAACTCTGCGTGTGTGGAACGTCCCGATCCCCGCTTGATACCCATAGCCAACTTCAAAATCCCTGTTCCTAAACTCGACGCTGTCAAATGTAAGGGCTCGCAGAACACAACACAGCAGAGGAGAGAGGCGTACATTTGGGTATCAATGTTGTTGTCTGGGTGCCTGTGAACAGCGTGGGAAGAACTTCGATGGTCCTTGCTCTCGGTAAAGAAGGAGAATCACCATCAAGTACCTCCCATTCCTGGTCCTGGTCCTGCACTTCCTGCATCTCCTGCGGTCCGACGACCAGCGGTCTCAACTTCGCCACCAGATCGGTGTTCTACCCAGAATGAGTCAGGCGAGAGAGAAGTATGATGAAATTTAGGACGTACCTTTCCCTGAACCTTAACCCCGTGTTGTTTACACAATCTCACAATCTCTGCTCGCTTGAGGTTGTCGAGCCAGTCCATGGTTGGATGCAGTGATATGACACGGGCGACGTCAAGGAGGGTTGAGACGCGTAGGGCAAAGGACGCGCTGAATCACGTGCATAACATGTGATGGTTCATTAAGTAAGCATTTATTTCCAGCACTTTCTCGGAGGGACGTCGCACAACTTCGAAGAAAGTCATCGGTCACAGTAAATAAGTAGTTCAAATTTCTTCTCCCTCCTTACTTCCTTTACGCGATATGGAGTCTCTCTTGCACTGGGCTATCCAACACTCCGACACCACTACCCCTCCCACCACCTCAACACTCGAAGCACAAGCCCGTCTCCGTTCGCTCGACCCTGGTATAATAGAAACCATCCTCGGCCAACCCGATGCGGCCAAGATGCGTCAATCACTCGCTCTAGCGCAGGACCAGGGCCGGTCAAGAGCAGAGAGGGTCCAGGCTCTGGATGACCTGGAGATGCTGGTAGAGAGCTTGGATAACGCGAACGATCTTGCTCCTCTTGGTTTATGGAAGCCGCTTTTGGGGCTGCTCCAGTCAGAGGAAGAAGAGATCCGACGAGCAGCGCTCTGGGTCGCAGGGACGGCAGTGCATAATAATCCTCAATCTCAAAGTGACTTCTTGGCGCTGGACCCGCTCCCGGCGGTATTGGGATTCGTGAGAGATGGGGAGGGGGAGACGAGGGCCAGGGCGGTTTACGCGCTAAGTGGTGCTGTGGGACATAACCCGACCGCCGTGGGACGGATGGAAGAGTTGGGAGGTTGGAGAGTTTTGAAGAACGCACTGGAGGGTACGTTTCTTGAGTTGAGGTTTATTGCTGGTACTGACATGGGGCAGATCCGGCACCGAAAGTGAGAGTCAAAGTCGCTTTCTTGCTGAACACTCTTCTCCTCCTGGATACCCCACAAACCCAGGATCAAGCCCACGCGTACGCGCATGATACTTCCGTAGCCCCCTACCCCCGTGCACAAAAAGAGTTCACAACTCAAACAACAAAAGGCCGAACCCGCGCAGCGTTCAAAGCTGAGGGGATCGTTGATACACTGATAGAGATCCTTTCCCGGGAGGGAGAGGAGGAAGAGGACTTGAGGGAGAAGACAGGAAGATGTTTGCTTACTTTCCTGGAGGGTGGGGATGACGCATGGACGGGGGAGCAGAAGGAGACTCTGAGGAAGGCTCTTGGTGTCCATTCCGGAGGGAAACTGGGCTTGGACCAGGAGGAATGGGAGCGGCTCACGGGGAGTGTACGTTGAACAGCCTCCTATCTATCGTTGAGCTTCAGTGTACTTTAACTCCAGGCTGCGAGGTGCCTGCGTCGGATGTGATCATAATACATGTAATAAGCATAAAGATGTGCAAGTTGTACATGGTCCCACTGTAAAGATCGTTACAAATCCCTGCCCCCAACCGGTCTCTCCCTGTATCCCATCTCAGTCCGTCCATCCCCCGGACTTACAAACCGAACCCCTCAGCCCAAACATCCAATACATCCTTCCCCTGCATCTGGAACGCCGCCCTACAAATCAACGGTCCATGAGCGTTCCTAACCCCCTCAATAAGCACCAGCTTCTTCCCCCATCCAAGCTTGTTCAGCTGTTCAGCACAGCGCAGCTGGAGGGAAGTAAGCATTGGCTGCTCCCCTGCGGAGGCAGCGAGTGCGTTTTCAGCGGGAAGGGGCCCGTCGGAGCCGTCTGACGTCGCAGCGAGGGTAGCGAGCTGAAGGAGGGAGGCGGAGGACGAGGATGTGGCAGGTTTGGGGAGGGTCAGGGCGTTGTTGTTGTTGCCGTTCATTGGGGGGCTGGGGGTAGGGGCGGGCGTGGTACTCTCACTGGAGCCTTGCTCCATTGAGCTGGTAGGTGTGGACCAGCCCGACATCGACAGTGACATGAGCGTCGGCCGCCTACTCAGCGCGAGGGAGGTGTTGTCTTCCCACTCTGAGTCGGACTCGAGCAACGCTATCCGCCTGCGGGACTCCCGTGTAGCTGCTGAGAACCGGTAAACTAGGGCTAGGAGTATGATGGGGGCTACGAAGGGTACGAGCAAAGGGGAGAGAGCGAAGAATACCTGTTTTCTATTAGTTAATTCTGGGGGTGGTAGGGGAAGGGACACACATAGTTGTAAGGATAGGAGAATTGCAAGTGAGGGGGAAGGACGGGCCTGGTAGGATAAAGAGATCGAAGGTATTCCCAGGACATGATCGCAAGCTGGGGCTTCTCTACTGGAACGGGCAGCTCCCACTTTGTGATCATATGCGGGTGTTTAGGGTCAAATTCCCTGTTCCGCGTTAGCCTATCAAGGATCGGGATGGGAAGAAAGCGTACAGTTGGATCCCGTTAGACTGATAGTGGAAAAATGGGTCGTGCACCTCGATCGCACTCGTTACGTAAGGGACGGTCACGTCTCCTGCGGCGTTGGCATAGACCTCTCTCCTCGCAAATCTCGCTAATCCCCTGTAGAAGACTCCTTGCGGGTCTGCCATCACCTCGAGTAGTGGGCGACCTGAAGTGCCCCATTGGTCGATGGCGTAGAACTGCTCGCCTGTGCGGGACAAGAAGCGCGGTCCAAGGGTGTAGGTGAGGGAGCTGTAAAAGGAAGGATAACGGGGAAGGCCGATGTGCGGAGTTGCGAAGGTGTAGAAGGCGCGGGGCTCGACGCGGGAGAAGAAGTTTCGCGTTTCTAAGATACTGTGATGGGTCAGTTCAGGGCTTAAGAGGTGCAGAAGCAGACGAACCCAATGAGATAGCGAGCGATGAGTCCACCCAACGAATATCCAACAATACTGAGTCGCTGGACGACCTTTCCCTCCCGCTCCAGCTTATCCACATAACTCAGAAACTCATCCGCGACCCTTTCCGCACCCCAATCCACCCCGTCGTACGTATGGTTTCCCCTGTTAGCTTCAGCGACCAGCACGTCTAACAGGGGTTGTCCGGGCTTGATAGAGGAGGCGGGAAATTGCTCGCGTAGGCGGGAGGCCATGTTGGAGAGATGTTGCGGGTCACCCCACATACCATGCACGAGGAGGACGAGGTGGACGGGCTGTGGGGATACAGAGGCTGGGGTGGGGCTGGTGTTCTCCATGAGCTCAAGGGGTGCGGCAGGCGGAGAAAGCGATATAAGCGGATTATCCATAGGAGTAGTAGTAGGCATGATTACTTCTGTAGCGGACTGGATTCGAAGTTTAGGTTGTTCCTTCTTTCGTTCAATGAGATCGGAACAGTTGTAAAGTGTGGTTGTCAAGTGTCTAAGCAGCAAAGAAAGGAGAGTTCGATATTAAGTAGTATCCAAGTGCACACACAGGAGATTTCAGCAATTAGAGAAGAGGAGGTGCTTAAGGAGTCAAGCGTCAAGTCCGTGTCAAGAGGAGAATTGCTCCAAACAGCAGTGTCGGGGTAAAAGGAGAACGGCCCCTTGCTCTGCTTATAGTACGCAATTTCCGGTTGACCCGACAGAAGGGAAGCGCCCGGGGCACAGCCACACGGCAATGACGTCTTGCCCCTCGGCTATGGTGCGGGCCGTACTTTGGAGCTTGAGGAAAAGGCGAAGAATTTTCGGCGTTATGTTTCTCGTGGAATGTATTAATACATAGAATACTCGTACTCAGCCAAGGGTTGAGAAACTCCAACGACTGAAAACCAAGCTGCGGCATAAAGGAGCGTACGACATTCAAACAGACACGAACCAGCTCAGCCACAGATGTTCGGGTACTCCCTATCATCCGGGTCTGATGAGATCCACCCTCCAGCTAAGCCAGCAGAGTACGACCAGTCATCCGCATCCTCGTTCTTCCAACACCAGTATATCCATCCCTGCGCCTCCCATTAGCACGCTCCAAACAGCCAAAGAAGATCACTCACATCACCCTGCTCGTACGTGCTGACCTGCGCCTCCCAGAACTGCCTCAAGAACGTCTTGTACTCGCTCGAAAACGTACTGCTGCTCCCACTCTGACCGTAACAGTTCCCAATAGCAGCCGCGCCATCGCCGTACGACCCGTCGTAGCGTGACCCCATCCCTCGTCCGTTGATGTATGTCGCGCAGTCGGTGGAGGCGGTACTCCACTCACCGACGATCGTCCAGAGGTCGTTGGATGCTAGATTACCCGCGTTTGAGCAGGCGTTCGATATGTGGTCATCCCAAGACATCTCGAGATAATAGTCTTCGAATACTTGGTAGATATGCTATTGGCTCATAAGTTTCTGTCCATAGCTCTCAAATGAACACGCGCACCGTGTCCATCATGACCCACGACCCGCCATTAGCCTCAGTCAAGAAGCCAGACCAGTATGAGAAGCTCTGGAACGCATCGTGCAAAACGACCACCAGACTCCCGTCGTTCCTCACGGTCGGGTACGTATCCGTGTAGTAGTTCCTGGTTGTATCGAGCAGCTCCTGACTATAATACCCCGCAGGTTCGTTAACCAGCTCGATAGCGGTAACGACGCCCTGATACTGCGATTGACTGAAGTCGCTGCTCATGGTAGCGATTATTGCCTGAGTGCGGGTCACGTAGTCCGCATTATTCTGCCAGTTCGGATTGCCCCGTTCGCCGGAATTGTCGTACCCGTTCTGCGAGCCAGGTACACCGTGCAGGTCCACGAGAACCTTGATGCCGTAGTTCCCCGCCCAGCCTACAGCAGTCTTAAGGTAATCATATTGATTCAGGTGGAAGTACGGTTCCCCTCCAGAAGTGTCGAACGCCCAGAAGCCGATGGGGATACGCACGTGATTCAGCCCGGCTGCGGCGATGGCTTCAAAATCTGATTCTTGCACCCACGAACCCCAGTGGTTCCAGAGGATGTTCGCGCCCGTGTCGTAATCCATATATTGGCCAAAGGTCCACTCGTCGACGATCGCGGAATTTCCGGTGTTGTCGAAGATTGACGGGGTGATCCATGGTTCTGTGCACGTGTGAGCATTGGAGCACCGAGAGGTGGGTGGAGCGCACCTAGGACCAACCAACCGCCTAGGTTCACACCTCGTACCTTGTCGGTGCCATACGCAAATCCAGGATCCCGCTTCGAAAGTGTGGAGTTTGTGTTGACCCAAGCTGGGGCGGCAAACGCGGTGCCTACAGCAGCGATAAGAAAGAAGGAGCGGAGTAGTCCCATGGTTGGTATGCCAGAAGCGGGGAATGCAGGCAGCCAAGGGGCTGAGGGGTAAAGACCGGCGGGAAAAAAGAGTGCTATATACCGCTCGCGAAAGAGGGGCGAGCAAGGTACTGAGAGATCCGAGTAGGCGCGCACAAGTCAGCTGCTGCTAATTTTCGAGGCGTTAGGAGAAGAGTTGTGGAAGAATCCCGCTTTTAATAGGATAGATGGACGAAGGAAGAAGGGGAGGGTATTGATCATAGTTCGTTGGCCAGAGTTATATATGATTATCCCCCAAAGTGCGGCAGTGGCAGGGCCAGAGGGCGTTGTGTACCAAGGCGGTAACCGTGCCTTGTTGTCAACGTGTTAGGGCGATGTTCTAGCCAATGATCTGCGTGCATCCCAGAGCTTCGGATAACAAGAATAGCCCTCTCTCATAATATCACACCATGTTGATATAAACTGAGGTGTAAACGGAGCAAATGTTGGAGGAGTTGTCTTTAGAGTCGTGCCTTGCTCCAGTGGAAACGGTGCGTACTGAGGACCGTTGGGTTCATGTTACAGCGCCTCGGTGCCAATAGGCGAATGCCACAGAAATAGCAACTTCGCGTGTATACTAGCAGGCTTAGCGCCGAATATAGCTGACCAGATGAGTTATGTGTTCCGCGTTAGGATGAATACACCAAAGTTCAACCGAGCGCAGGCCTTCGTTTTGTGCGCCATCGGACCATGATGCGGTCGCCTGCCCGTTAAGATCCATGTTCCACATGGATTCGCAAACAAAAGTTGTCGCCTCGTGGTCGGCACAATCTTCTAGCAGAAGATGTAAATAGAAGCAGGGAGATGATCGTCGAGCATGTTGACCGGTGGACGCGTCCAGCGTTTTCTGACTCTGACGGTCACATCAGGTATGTGGGACCCAAAACAAGGTGTACCCCTCTTCTTCGGCGGTTGGGAAACGAAGAACGGCGATCACAATGTAATTGGGGAGCGTGTCAGGTGCACAATGATCGACCGATATTTTCCATCCAACAATTTGCGTCGACACATGCGCTTCCATTCCCCCTCTCCGAAGATTCACCTGAGCCGATCTCCTATAACCCAGAGGAATCACTCTACTACATTCCATGTCTGCTCCTAAAGAAGGCCATCACGATTTGCTCGCTGGTCGGGTGACCTAAATCGATCTGCAATGAGGTACTCGTTTAACAACTTTTGACGACATTCGTCTGTCCTCCAACATCCTCATCCGTATTCCGATCTCGGATCAACCCTGTCGAGATAATAACTGCCTTCTTTACTTAGAATTCCATGTGGACAGTTGCCCCATCCGTCGATGGGGCTCTCGATGGGGCGAGGTTAACATCATATCAGCCTTGATTGCAAGATCTAGCTAATAACAATGTGATACAACAGTGTCCGCGAGTACATAATACGAAGGGTACAAATGAATGGGTCATACTTAGCATGATTAGTTGACAACCACGAAAGCCGGTGCCCAAATGGCAGCAGCAGCAACAGCATCGACGTTCGCGAACGGACCGGCCTGGTCAGTGACAGATGCGATCGTCAGGCCGTTCATCAGGTGTTCGTCGAAGGGGAAGGTAGCCTCGATTGTAACAGTGGTGTCATCGGCACAGACGTAGGTAGCAGGGACAACCACAGGGTTGTTCAGCTGGTTTACGTAGACGACGTTGTATGCCTTGCCAGACTCGTACTTGTCCTTAGCGAGCGAGAGGCGGACGTCCTCAGTCTTAGCTATGGGCGTGTCGATGAACGTGACCTTCTCGAACGTCTTCAAGTCGGCAGCAATGATGTCGATATTGGGGCAGCTCGTAGGGTCAACGAATCCTTGCAGCGCGGTGAATGCGAAGTCACGGTTCGAGGCGGTGGTGAACGGAAGCTCGTCAGGCACACGACCGAGGAGGTACCGGAAGAAGCCGTTCTGCTCGCCCTCGTTAGCCACAGCAGCCACAACACCACGTGTCAGGCCAGCATCGCCGTTCTCTGCGAAGAGCGTCACGACATCGCCAAGGACACCAAAGACGTTCGAGGTGAAAGTCATCGCGAGCGTGACAGCTTCCTCGAAGGTGGACACGGGGAAGTTGTACCGAGTGCAAGGCTCGATCGCGGTTTGGTTGAAGTGTGCGAGGGCATTGACCGCGTTCAGGTTGTGCAGCTCCTCCACGTGTTGGGTGACCGTGAGGAAGTTGACAAGGTAGTCGTAGTCGACCCAAGACGGGACTTCATATCCCGGCACGTGGTTGGTCACGTTGGCGAGGAACTCCTCGAAGTAGACAGACTCGATACGTTCGGCAAAGTCGATGAGGCGGAGGTTGACGAGGCCCTGTGCGGAGATGTTTGCAGGAGGCGTGGCATTCGAAAGAGTACCATGAGCCTCGACGAAGATCTCTTGTAATTGTTCGGGGCTCGGGGTGGGGAAGCCATCAGCGAAAGGGAAGGGAGAACCAGAGCTGCTGCCAGAGTTCGGCGCGCTGTAGTCCCGAGTGGCTGGTGCGGCAGATGCGCTGAGGGCAGCAAGACCGATAGTAGCGGCGGTGAGGATTGAGCCGTGCATTATGGGGATGATCTAAAGTAAAGGAGTAGGTGATGAGGGAATTAGGCGGCTCAAAGCTCGAGTAGAGTAGAGTAGTGTTTGATGTCGTATTGGAGACAGATCACCTCAGCTTTTATACCTTCTCAATCCAACATCGAGTATTTGTCACCTCACGGGAACGTGAGCTTGGCAACGGCGTGCTTTACGAGCATAGCATAGCAACGTATTGCCATAAAACGATATTCCGAGCCACCGTAAGACGTGAGGAAAGTAGAGGCAAACTGCGGCGAGAAGAGTAGACTTAAGACAATCGTTCGCGGGCGCTCGGGCATGGTTGATGTTTGCACTGCGTGACACTGCCTTGACCTGATTGTGTAGGGGATGATGGGCACCGTGTTGTCCGAGGAGTCCCTGCCTTCGCAAAGCACGAAACAACCCCCTTGCCCGAGCGCTAAATCCGGTCGGCAAGTTGGACGCATGAAACGAGTGGAGGAGGCAGAGCATGTTTGATGATGACGACGAAAATAACGGTTGTGTGTTGACCGGCGGCACGGGAACTAAAATTTTTCACATTATCTTATCTCATCACATCTTCCATTCCTTCGAAAATAAAACAAGGCATTACAGTGCATGCAAATTGTCAGTCAAAAGTGTTTAGTCCACAAAGTGTCTCCATCTGGGTGTGCCTAAACATAAACTCATTAGTTGACGACAATGAAGGCTGGGGCCCATATAGCGGCCGCAGCGACAGCATCGACGTCGGCGAACGGCCCGCTGCCATTCACGACAGCGGCAATGGTCAACCCGTTCAGCAACTGCGCGTCGTACGGGAAGGTGGCGCTGAGAGTCACAGACGTGTTGTCGGCGGAGACGTAAGTCGCAGGCTCGACAACGGGCACGTTAAGCTGGTTCGTGTAGACGACACTGTAGTTCGTCCCGTTCACGTATTTGTCACTGGCGACAGCAAAGCGGATCGTCTCGGTTTTAGCCTCGGGGGTGTCGAGCAGCGTGAGTGCGTCGAAAGTCTTGAGATCCGCAGCAATGATGTCGATGTTCGGGCAGGAGGTCGGATCGACGAAACCCTGCAGGGCAGTGAACGAGAACTCACGCGTTGACACGGTCGTGAACGGCAGCTCGTCGGGGACCTTGCCCAGCAGGTAACGGAAGAATCCGTTTTGCTCTCCTTCATTGGCCACAATTTGGACGATGTGCCTCGTAAGTCCGACATCTCCATTCTGAGCAAAGATCTGCGCGATCTCGCCAAGCAGGCCAAAGACGTTGGAAGTGAACGTCATCGCAAGAGTTACGGACTCGTTGAAGTTAGACACAGGGAAGTTGTATGTCGTGCAGGGCTGGATGGCGGTCTGGTTGAAGTGCGCCAGAGCGGTGACGGCGTCCAAGTTGTGCAGTTCCTCGACGTGCTGGGTGACATTGAGGAAGTTGACAAAGTAGTTGTAGTCGACCCAGGATGGTAGTTCGTAGCCAGCCACTCCAGTAGTCACATTCGACAAGAACTCCTCGAAGTAAACAGCCTCGATGCGCTCGGCGAAGTCGAGCAGGCGCAAGTTGACCAGACCTTGTGCGGAGATGTTAGCAGGTGGGGTCGAGTTAGAGAGCGTGCCATGAGCGTCGATGAAGATTTGTTGCAACTGGGCGTCGCTGGGATTGGGAAACCCGTCTGGGAAAGGCAAGGGATCGGAGCTGTTGGTGTCGCGCGGCTGAGGAGCAGCGTATGCGGTGATGGCAGAGCCAAAGAAGGCGGCGGCGAGGAGTTGGGTGAACATGATGGATATTTGGGGATGTGCTGGTCAACGAGGTTGCTCCTGGGCACTGCTGGTATTACGATGGAGGGGATTGCATTGGTGCTTTAATACAAATGTGGATGTGGATGTGGACGTAGATGTGGATGGCCGTCTTCTGGAAAGGCTGGTTGGTATTGTGTGAGGCGGCATGGCTGGTCGAGGGTTAGAAGCATCAGAAACCCAGGATGAGTGACGCACCCGTCCATCGAAGTCGGATCCGAACCAGAGCGCCTGACATACCGTCTGGGAAGTAAGACATGGGGCGTCACCGATTCGCCCAACAATGTTGAAAGAAGTGCTGGATCTAATCTGGTGCACCGCCTGGGTTTATGAGGCCCTGATAGGGAAGGAGAACCCATCTCCCCGGAAGAGGCGCCAATGTCCGATGACGTGCACACATTCTTCCACGACAGTTTCGCACCTCAAACAGACAAATGAAGACGTTCTCCGCGGTGGAGAATGCCTCGGACATTCGGTGACCTATGCTGTGTGCACGTCTGACTGACTTGACTAAGACAACGTGCGCAAGCCATTCGGCCCGGAAGAGTGAGCCAACACATACTCCATGTAGAAGTCTCAAACAGGCGAGACGGAAGGTCGCACTGACAGGGAGAGAGTCTGGTGCGGTTCCAGGTCGTCGTACGACTGCAACTTGAAGAGGAAAAACGTACAGTACGTGTAGCGGCTGCCGTCGTGCGCATGGGGCTCACTTATGTAAGCGATGCCCTGGTCAGGGGAATAGAGCGTCGGTACTTTCCGATCGTTCGATCAAGGAACGTGAATGACAGACTGGGCACGAAGGAAACATAAATTCAAACGTGCGTAATATAATAATTGTCCGAAAATGACTATCCGTAAAATACTCGCTACAAAATCCATTCGGGTCATAATCAAATCCCTTTTGGGAATAAGCGTCATCCGAAAACGATTAGCGGCGTTTAGTTGACGACCGCGAAGGCAGGAGCCCAGATGGCGGCAGCTGCGACAGCATCGACGTTCGCGAACGGACCGGCCTGGTCAGTGACAGACGCGATCGTCAGACCGTTCATCAGATGTTCGTCGAAGGGGAACGTAGCCTCGATGGTCACGGTCGTGTCGTCGGCAGAGACACAGGTAGCAGGGACGACGACAGGGTTGTTCAGCTGGTTCACGTAGACGACGTTGTATGCCTTGCCGTTCTCGTACTTGTCCTTAGCGAGCGAGAGGCGGACGTCCTCAGTCTTAGCCCTGGGCGTGTCGATGAACTTGACCTTGTCGAATGTCTTGAGATCCGCGGCAATGATATCGATGTTAGGGCAGCTCGTAGGGTCAACGAATCCTTGCAGCGCGGTGAATGCGAAGTCACGGTTCGAGACGGTGGTGAACGGAAGCTCGTCAGGCACACGACCGAGGAGGTACCGGAAGAAGCCGTTCTGCTCGCCCTCGTTAGCGACAGCAGCGACAACACCACGTGTCAGGCCAGCATCGCCATTCTGTGCGAAGATCTGCACGATATCGCCCAGCACACCGAACACGTTCGAGGTGAAGGTCATCGCGAGTGTGACGGCTTCCTCAAATGTCGACACCGGGAAGTTGTACCGGGTGCAGGGCTCGATCGCGGTCTGGTTGAAGTGTGCGAGCGCATTGACAGCATTCAGATTGTGCAGCTCCTCGACGTGCTTGGTAACCCTGAGGAAGTTGAGGAAGTAGTGGCGATCAACCCAATAGGGGAGCTCGAAGCCAGGCACATGGTGGGTCACATTGTGCAGGAATTGTTCGAAGTAAATAGACTCGATACGTTCGGCAAAGTCGATGAGGCGAAGGTTGACGAGGCCTTGAGCAGAGATGTTGGCAGGTGGGGTTGCATTCGACAGTGTACCGTGAGCTTCAACGAAGATCTTCTGCAGCTGCTGCGGTGATGGCGTGGGGAATCCGTCCGCAAAGGGGAAAGGTGATCCCGAGTTGGTCGACTCCGTGCGGGCGGTAGGAGCGGCGAAAGCTCCGAGGGCAGCGAGGCCAATAGTGGCAGCAGTGAGAAGAGAGGCGTGCATCTTGAACTAGAACGTGGGGATGAGGAAGGGAAATTAGTGGAACGGCACGTAACTACTGACTGGAAGACCCACCTCGGGGAGCAATATATAAGGCTGGAAGCCTCTATACAGTCCCGTTTATGGTGTACCATTGCTGCAAAAGGCAAACAGTACGCTCGCCCAGCACAGTGCTACACCGGACGACGGAAAATGTTCTACGCTGGGTTCTGCCCGCGGTGCTCTTTGAATTGAAGAAATGTCGCCGAGGGGAAACAGCTTTCGTGCCTGACGGCGCAGCCGGACTGTATCAGGTAAGACAGGCCGGAAGAGTCACCTGAGCCTTCCTGTATGAGTTCTAAAACCGGACATGGATACATGTACCGCCTCCTTGTGCAAAAGTTGTACGATGCCAATTGCAGATCGAGGTCCGTACGTCCTCCATATGCATGTATTGCCAGAAATTAGTCAGGAAAGATCAGGCCAATGCCAAGAGTTCACCGATGCCGACAATCAGTAGCCTGTATGTCTCCACACGAATAAGCGCCAAGGCCTAGAGATTCGATCAAGCTGTCCTCGTCGTGTCGGTTCAGGATGGTCGATGTTGAAGTGGCCTGGTGGCAGTGTATAAATGATGGTGGCAGTACGGTGACTCTGACGGAAGCACGTTTTGTGCCAAGATGACACAGGTTGGACTGCACCAGTCGGCGATCCATCAATCCTCCATTCAATACTCAACTTTCAACTTCTCTCGAGCAAAGAATCGCCGACTCATGCGTCCCTATGCCGTTCACAAGCGTTCTCAGCACCTGGCATGTTATTCTATTCTAGAATTGCGCAATGATAAATCTAGGGAGCTGGGGCATTATAACGTGAGAGCCTGTGCCGCGGTGTGAGCGCTTGATCTGCATAACGTGAGATACATGCGGATGCTTCCTCGCAGGCGAATCAGATCCGTGCTCCGGCATGTCAAGGATTTTTCTACACACCCGCAGAAGCTGGGACGTAGTTACTCAATCACACGGAAGATCCCCCGGCTAGGTCACGAACGCTATGCTACTTGTTACCCTTGTTTTGGAAGATGCTTTTCCTCACCGCAGTCGTAGGAGTTTTCTCACAGCGAATCGCCTGCTCGGTGCAGAAACTAGGGACCAGTCGGTCTCATGTACGGGAGAAGAAGCTAGAGGATCATGCGTTCAGCATTGAGTGCAGCGAGCGGCTCTTATCCCATAGGTGTGTGGCCACCCCGTGCCAAGGTTGTGAGGAACGATGGTGTGACATCTACTTGCGAAAGTTGCTTTTCCGTACGTCCTGCTTCGTGCTGCGTTCATACACAAAAATGTCACCGCAGACTTCTCCGGTGGCAATACCCCGGGAACCAAACTGTGTTCCGCGTCCTTCAGTTCGGGGTGCTCAATGTGCGGTATTCAAAGTCCAACGTGTATTCATGTCAGACAGCGTGTCGTAGGCATAACATGGGTATTAATGGTTTGTATATACTCCCCAAAAGTCCTTGAATGAATGTATGTATAATGCAAAGTGTACAATTGGAGGCATCATCGAAGGCTTAGTTGACAACCACGAGAGCGGGAGCCCAAATGGCAGCAGCGGCAACAGCATCGACGTTCGCGAACGGACCGTCCTGGTCAGTGACAGACGCAATCGTCAGACCGTTCATCAGATGTTCGTCGAAGGGGAACGTAGCCTCGATGGTCACGGTCGTGTCGTCGGCAGAGACGTAGGTAGCGGGGACGATGATAGGGTTGTTCAGCTGGTTTACGTAGACGACGTTGTATGCCTTGCCATTCTCGTACTTGTCCTTAGCGAGCGAGAGGCGGACGTCCTCAGTCTTAGCCCTGGGCGTGTCGATGAACGTGACCTTCTCGAACGTCTTCAAGTCGGCAGCAATGATGTCGATATTGGGGCAGCTCGTAGGGTCAACAAATCCTTGCAGCGCGGTGAATGCGAAGTCACGGTTCGAGGCGGTGGTGAACGGAAGCTCGTCAGGCACACGACCGAGGAGGTACCGGAAGAAGCCGTTCTGCTCGCCCTCGTTAGCCACAGCAGCCACAACACCACGTGTCAGGCCAGCATCGCCGTTCTCTGCGAAGAGCGTCACGATATCGCCCAGCACACCGAACACGTTCGAGGTGAAGGTCATCGCGAGTGTGACGGCCTCCTCAAATGTCGACACCGGGAAGTTGTACCGGGTGCAGGGCTCGATCGCGGTCTGGTTGAAGTGTGCGAGCGCATTGACAGCATTCAGATTGTGCAGCTCTTCAACGTGCTTGGTAACCCTGAGGAAGTTGAGGAAGTAGTGGCGATCAACCCAATAGGGGAGCTCGAAGCCAGGCACGTGGTGGGTCACATTGTGCAGAAACTCCTCGAAGTAGACAGACTCGATACGTTCGGCAAAGTCCAAGAGGCGGAGGTTGACGAGGCCCTGTGCGGAGATGTTTGCGGGGGGGGTGGCGTTCGAAAGAGTACCATGAGCCTCGACGAAGATCTCTTGTAATTGTCTGGGGCTCGGGGTGGGGAAGCCATCAGCGAAAGGGAAGGGAGAACCGGAGCTGCTGCCAGAGTACGGTGCGCTATAGTCCCGAGCGGTTGGTGCGGCGGCGGCGCCGAGGGCGGCGAGGCCGATAGTAGCCGCGGTGATGATTGAGCCGTGCATTATTGGTGGGATTTAAGGTAGAGAGTCGTGGAGGAGCAGTAGATATACAGTGGCTCGGGCTCGAGGAGAGTAGAGTGCTTGGTGAGCTTGGAAACAGGACAAACACCCGTCTTTTTATCCCCTCCGTCCAAGGCCGAAAGGCATCTGTCACCACACGGAATGAATGCTAAGCACCAGGACAAAGTGCGAGCATAGCAGGGTATTGCCACAGCCTGACCGCAGGGGCTTGGCAAGAACCATTCAATGGATGATGATCGGTGATGGATTCATACTTTGACGGGCGCTCAGGGAAGGAGTACGTTTCGCACCGCCGCCTCGCCAGGGACGCGCAAGTTTTCCGAGGGGACCACGGTCCCTTATTGTACAGGGTGCACCGCGTCGGGCCTGTGCGCATGGAGACCATACATTGTTTCCAGATTATTGACCGACATCCTGTGGGGGCATCGGTCCGAGGTGACAAACAAAGCCGAGAGAAGCTCGGAGAAGTGGAGGGAGGAAGCATAGGCAGCAAGATGGAGTTTATGAGTACCTGGACATGTGGTGCGGAGATGGTGGACGGTAACAACACACCGCGCTAGCCCTGTTTCTCAAATGTGCAGGTAGTTACCTCTGGTGTTCAGGGATGAGAGGTTGTTGGTAAAGGGCCCATGTGTAATGTCACGTCCCGAAAGAGGAGAACGCGCTTCTTTGCTTCCGTAGGCAAGTAAGCGCCCGCTTTACCGTCTCCCAGTCTCCTTCATCGTCTGCAGACAGACATGTCCCTTTCACTCCGCCTTTCCAGCCTCGAAAAGCGACTTAATCCATCAAGGCTATCCTCCTCTTCGACAGCGCAGGAACCATGTGGAATGTAGGTCTGTCTGTTCACTATTGTACTATTCCCTTGCTAACGAGAGGACGTCACAGATGCGGACGACAGTTCGCCAAGTACACCTGTCCAACTTGCAATACACCCTATTGCTCATTGACATGTTTTCGCTCAGAGGTACATTTAACTTTATGTCATGTAGTTCTGCAGAAGATCTTATGTGCTTTCAGAAACACGTACAGTGCACAGAGCCGTTTTACAAGCAATCACTGGAAGATGAGATTAAAGCTGGACGGTCGCGCACTGCGGACGAGAAGAGGGCAATGTTGGACATGCTGAAACGGTTTGAGGAGCAAAGTGCAGAGGCTGAAGAGACTCAACCTTCGGACGAGGAAGACGAGGAGTCGGACGACCTGGCTGCCAGACTAGCGGAACTGGATTTGGGCATGTACCCTGCCCCACCCAATCATGTTAAGGCTGACATTAGGAAGATACAGCCGATTATGGACAGATATGGGATAGACTCAGCAGTGATCAGAGAGCTGAATTTCTCCGTCTTGTTGGGAACCCAGACAGTGATGCTACGCGAGCCTTGCTCACACAGGCAGAGTCTGTGGACCAGGTCGTTCTACCCTGGTGGGAATTCACAGACTCTGATACGAATGAATCGAACGAGGCCCAGACAGCAGACACGAGACCACAAAGCAAGTATGGACATGAGCCAAAAATGTTACAGCTGCCCGAAGGAGCACTTATGACGCAACGGGGGAAGAAAGGACCTGTGTTGGCATATAACATGCTTGCTGTTGCGTAAGCCGGTTTTCTTTGAAATTCTATTACTGGCGTGGATTGAGATCAAGTCAGGATGGTATACGCGTATGCCACACGGTATTTTGGCATCTGCCCTCTCGCTTCTGCGAATTCCGTCGCAGCTAATCCGAATGAGGAAGTCTTGCAAACCGAAGTCTCCTCTCTCATGCTCAGTGCTCTTCCATTTCTCGCTGACCGCCGATCCACCCTCGTCTTTCCTTCTGTCTCTAGCGTGGTGCTCGATCTCTGGTCCCGGATAAAGGAGAGACAGGTATGTCCTTCCTAGACATGGCAGACTATGAAGGGACAAAGCACCGTCTTAACCTACATCCTTGCGTCTGCTATGACGGTGCAATTCCGGACATTGCTGACTTTCCTGGTTGAATTAGGAACCAAGCCACGGCCTGTTTGCCATTTTGCTGCGTGATGCGGCAGTTCTCCTCCGACCACAAAAGATCATCGAACTCCCAACACAACATCGAGAAGCGCAGCCTGCCTCGTCGTCCACGAATGAGGCATCACAAGGCGCAATTCATTCGACATCATCTCCCGCCCTTGCATACTCAAGCAGCCCTGTTCGCCGAGCTCTCCTGGTGCTATCTGACATACACAATCTCCTCATGCCGAAGAAAAAGGGAGCGGCACTGAAGCTACAGTTTTATGCCGCCTCCGTGCTGACATGGACAAATAATCTGCTGGAGGGCCTCAGTATGGAAGCGGAGAAGGCTGCTGAAAAGGAAGAGGAGCGACAAGAGGAAGCACGAAACGGGAGGGTCCCAGGGCTACGACTTTTGGCCAAATATAACATCTCTTCGACAATGAAACTGTATCCCTGACTTTCTCCCTTGAGAGATAGATGTCTTCTTATGTTGCGAACGTACTGAAATTGTGACCGCACTTGATTGTTCCCATTTACTGTGGCATAGTGTAATCTCTGTTGCTGTAATGATTACAGTTGTATCGATCATGTCCCGTATGTTGCTCTACTTCGGAACTAGAATATTCCTCCAAACAACCTTGTTGTTATTTTGTTTGTGGACACCACCGGGTTTGTCCGTTGGTTATCGTCGATGTCCCAAACAAGTCTCGTGCGTTGGGATGCCGAAACTGGAGGGGTCGGGGACCCTGTCCATAGCCGACGTCCGTCCCCCGTATCATCCCAGCGCCTGTCCCCACGCCTGTTCCTCCACTCTTTCCACAGCGCTAGATTAACTCATATCCCACCATTCATCAGACGCACGACGCCGTATTACTTGTACTACTATCTGATCACGGATTCCAGCAATAGTTCATACCCCTAGACGACATGCCACCAGCACAGTACGGCGCCTTACCTGCACACGACCCCGAGGAGGAAGTCAACGGAGTCATCAGTGAGGATGAAGCTCCGTATGATGAGTCGTCGTCTTTGCTCGCAAGGCAGAAAGGTGGCTCGAGCTATGGGCCTGCAAGCCTACTTTCAAGTATAGCCAACCTAGACAACACGGTGCGTTGCTATTTGTCATCACAAGACCATCTTCCCTGACTCAGTATTGCTGAGAAAGATCATTGGCAGTGGGATGCTTACCTTCCCCCTCGCAATGGCTTCATCAGGAATTATACCAGGGATCTTCACCTGCATATTCTGTGGCTTCGTTGCTGGTCTCGGCTTGTTCTACCTCTCACGATGTGCGAGCAAAGTTCGACCGCAACGCTCAGCCTCGTTCTACAGCGTTGCTCAGCTTGCTTTCCCTGCCGCCTCCCTCTTCTTTGATCTGGCGATCGCGATCAAGTGCTTTGGCGTGTCCATAAGCTATCTTATCATCATCAAAGGGCTAATGCCATCCGCAACCAAAGCTGTGTTCCATGCGATGAACTGGGGAGTGGTGCCTCCTGTCTTGGCCAGTGGGAGATTCTGGGTCACACTCATCACCGGCATGCTGGTCCCTCTATGCTTTCTGAGGAAACTGGATAGCTTGAGACACACCTCATACGTTGCACTCTTCAGCGTTGGTAAGTTTACTATATACAGCCCTGAACTTGGTTCCTAACGCACAGCGCAGTATACTTGCTTCTTGTCGTCATCGTCTGCTACTTCAAGCCACCTCCTGGAAGTGTGCCTCCTGGAGAGATACATTTGATCAAGCTTGAAAAGGATTTCATTTCCACATTCCCTGTTCAAGTGTTCGCATTCACATGCGCTCAGAACGTGTGTTCTCGTCCTACTCCTGACTCGAGATTTCCACTGAGTATCGTTACAGCTGTTCCCAATATACAACGAGCTTCATACAAACACACAACCGCGTTTGAACCTCGTAATCGGCACCGCTGTGGGGGGTGCCACGGTGATCTACGAGATCATCGCTATCTTCGGGTACCTCACGTTTGGTTCGCACGTTGGCGCCAACATCATTGCGATGTATCCGGAAACAACACTGTTTGTCGCGGTTGGGCAAGTGGCCATTGTGGTCCTTGTGCTGTTCTCCTACCCGCTACAGGTGCTACCGTGTCGGAATTCCCTCGATAAGGTTTGGGACGATGCAGACAAGGTTGTGCATAAGGTAGACCGTGCCATCGAGGGTGAGGAGGATGGCGGTATTGAGCCTCTCCCTATTCAAGTACATGATGCACACGACCCCAGCCAGATGGGGCTCATGAAGCATATATTGCTGACGTGCATCATCATTGCGGGGGGATTCAGTATCGCGTTCTTCGTGGACGACTTGCAATTGGTGCTATCGTTTGTGGGTTCGACGGGTTCGACTAGTAGGTCACTTTCACTTTCCGTCGAGGCGTTTGGCTAATAAACGATCTCAGCGATCTCGTTCATCCTCCCTGGCCTGCTTTACTTCCAGCTCTTCCGACGTGATCGCGACAGCACCCCACTGCTCAAGTGGGGCGCTCTAGCCCTCGCCATCTACGGGACGTTCATCCTCATTTTCTGTCTCTCGTTCAATATTTACAAGGTAGTGAGCAGTTCATAGAGCGAGGGCGCGCCATCATGGAACATATTTTCTGGAACAGGGACTGTATTAGATAGGATGCAGTTTGAAAACAGGCACACAGGCCGTTGTTTTGTACGAAAGCCTGCGCGGAGCCTGAATAAGGTTTCGGACGGGGTTTGTGAGCCCAGATCTTCACGGGAGCCGTACCGACTGGGATGTACGATGGTTCCCGAGCATCCGGCGAATCTGACGGCTAGGGTCAGCACAGTGATCCATCCAATCAGAGAGAACAGAAGGGCTTGAAAATGAAAGAGTCAGAAAAAAATGGATATGTCACATCAACGTCGTCCTCTTAAGAGGACGACGATCAGACTGACGTGCAAATGTCGTTTGGTTCATCATATAACCGCAAAAGGCACCAACAGAGGAGCATAGAACGAAGATAAGATGGAAATGGGGACTTGCCTCATATTCTAAATTCCAACCAGAGGCACGCATCAGAGAGTGCAGAATTTGGTATTTTCACAGGATCTGCAAGGTAACGTCGTGAATCAGTGAAGTGGTTCAATTGAATCCTGTTTGTTCACTTATTGAGCATAGAAAATGGAAGCTGCTTCTCCTATAAGTAGTAGAAGGAAGTGAAGACCACCCATAACAACATTGCAACGGTCCGAGTGAGAGTTGTCAAGGAGTAATAAAGACATGGAAGAAGGGCCAAGGGATTTGGAGTCGAGGCTGTGCAATCTGACGCATCCAGGGCCCCTGACACGGAATCCGGATTCCGGCAGGGGCGGTGCATAATTATAGCTCCGCTCACTAAGGTTAAGTAAGCACGTGTGTATAGCTAATCTATATTGCTCCCTGTAGTAGAATTAGTAGTAGAATTAGAATAAAAGTAATAATTAAAGGGCATGCATTACCAGGCATATGCCCATCTATTGGATCATGTCTGGATGCACACATAATTCACAGGCAGGAGGGAATATCAATTCAATCTACACTATCTGTGTATCTAGGAGAAATCTTTCCTGCTCCCTGTAGAGTTAGTAGTAGAATTAGAAAAAAAGTAACAACTGCAGGGCATGCATTACCAGGCATATGCACATGTATTGAATCATGTCTGGATGCACACATAATTTATAGGCAGGAGGGAATACCATTTCATTCTAGACTATCTATGTATCTAGGAGAAATCATTCCATGTGCATAACTATGTAGGTGATATGAAACTTTTTTTGGGGGTTTTAGGGGGAGGTACAAGAGAGAGAGGGACAGAAGAAAGGAGAGAGAAGGCCATAGCCTTACAAACCAATAGCACTAAACCACTTCTTATCCACAGGACAACAAACAGGGTGAATATTGATTTGACCATTTTCAGCAGTCACCTTGATCTTCAGGATATGGAATGCTGTGTCCCCTGGGTTTGGATGAAGCTCAAAGATGTCGTGCTCGCCATTGCTGAACTTGAGAACCACGTGCCCTTTGCAGTTATGGTGACACTTGAAGTGGAAGGACTTCTCCACTAGGGTGAACTTCTTGAACTCCATGAACTGTCCACACTTTGGACAGTTCAGATCCTCCTCATTCCCTGTGAGGTTCTTGCTTGGGGCACCCCAGGTATACCTCCACACCTCATAGTTTGGCCTGCAGAGATATATGTCCAGACCAAACAGGGGATTGGAGAGGTCATGGATATATCCCTTGAGAATGGCTTCCTCTCCAGGCATGCCATCTTGGTAATAAGCATGCAGGAACAGTGCTAGCCACTGCTCTGCCACTTGCTGTGCATTGAAGGAGTTGGCAGTAAAGCCAATGACATTGTCAAAGCCTGTGCTATAATACAAGTAAGAACATGTAGGGGTAGAATAGCAGAATGGCTTACATGCACATCTATACTGAGTGCAGTGCCTTCAGAACCATCCCACTGCACATCAAGAGAATGAGGGTGGAGTCATTGCACACCTCCTTGGGAACCACTGTCCCCAGAACACTAGCACAGGCCTTGTAAACTTGTTAGAAAAAATAGAATTCATGTAAAAGAAGTGAACTTGCTTGCATAGGAGTACCATAGGTATGGTACTTATTGGCCTTGTTATACAGTAGCTCACCATCACCATTGTTTGAGTGGACATCCACAATGGTGAGAATGCAGAATTTCTTATTATAGCTAGATACAAGATTAGTCCTAACACATATTCATAATATTGACTTGTTACAGTGCCTTGGCCTTGTTCACCAAGTCAGCAATGTGGGCACATATGAGCCGCATTCCATCTGCCTGTCTGGATGGCTGGTCATCAGCAGACCATGTTGCACCATGTTCTGACAGCACTATGTCAACATAGCATGCATGTTGTGCCTATCGGATATCAGAAGATAACTCAATCATCACAACTATGTAAGCTTACCAGTCGCTGTGACATATACATCTCACCAAGATAGGCCTGGACTATCTTGGATGACAAGTCTGACATACTATGCTTGCCAGATTCCTGCCAGTGCGCCATGATCATGATGACTGGATCAGCATGCACTGGCCCTAATGACCAGACTGGCAGAGAGCCATGATAATTATACTATGCATATCTTGAATACTAGAAATAGAATTGAAAGTACTTACAGGAGGAGCACACATTCCTTGATCCTTGCAGCACTTCACACATGCAATACCTCCAGCTGCCTCTATCTGTGCCAAACTCATCTCCACACACCCATGTGTCCCAGCTGTGTTGATGCAGAACATGTGGTCACATAACTTGCATTGGTGTTGATGCAGAACATGTGGTCACATAACTTGCATTGGTGTAGGGCCAGTGCTTCATGACTGGCATGGCAAGCTGTGTGGTGATGGATATCAACCAACACAAGAGTATCAGGGTGGCCCTCCCTCTTTGCCATGTCGAGCTTCCAGTAATTATCTTCTTCCTGCCATTCCCACACCCTTCCAGGCACATTAGGGGGCATCTGGTTTCTGTCCCAATGCTTGGGAACCCCAGGCTTTGCCCAAACCAATTTTGCATCAGTGATCTTGCTGTATTCATTGGGGAGATAATCCCCCACATCCTCATTGGTATCCCTCACAGGCAAGGCATGGTTGCAGTTATCAGCAGGGTGGGGAGAGGGCTTCCTGGGCTTGGTGAACACAGAACGGCAATAGTGAGTTCCATGAGGCATTTTGAAGATGAAAGGTTGACAGTTGATAGAAAAACCGTGAGAAATCAACAGTATTTAAGTTTAGTGAGGCCTAAGCAACCTCAGTGTGGCTTAGGGCCAGTCCCTAAGCACCCGGAAATGACGTGGCATGGAGGCAAAGTCAGGGCATGCATAAGTTGTGAGGCATGCACATGGAAGTAAATGGTCCCTTGACTTCCAACCTCCACCATCTAACACACATATGTGCATTAGATGGTGGCTCTTAACTTTTCTTTGGCTTGTTTGGGCACCTCAATGACATGGCAGATGTGCAGGGCTTGTCCCTCGCATCTGCCTGGCTCCAAACTATGTGCAGGGCTTGTCCCTCATATAGTTTGAGCCTTTGGATACTCTTGGATGGCATGGCAGATGTGCAGGGCTTGTCCCTTGCATCTGCCTGGCTTTGAACTATGTGCAGGGCTTGTCCCTCATATAGTTCAAGCCTTTCTTTGGACACTCTTGGATGGCAGATGTGCAGGGCCTGTCCCTTGCATCTGCTTGGCTACAAACTATGTGCAGGGCTTGTCCCTCATATAGTTCAAGCCTTTTAGAGATATAAATGGATGGCAGGTGTACAGGGTATGTCCCTTGCATCCTCTGAGTTGTTTTACAGGGGATGCCCTGCCTCCTCCCTGTGCATGGCATGTCCATCACAGAGTTGGGCAGGGCTTGGGTGTTTCATTGCAGTAGGGCATGTCCCTCTGCAGTGTGCTGCCCATTTGAACTGCTCCCTCCCCCTTCCCTATTGGGGGGAGGCATGTGTGATTCATGCTGGTGCTGGCACACTGCTGGCACCAGCAGCAATATCTGGGAAGGGGTATATATTACCCTTCCCACATTACATATAATATTTTTGTGTGAGTTAATAAATATATTAAAAATAATTAAATATGTTAAAAAAGATTATGGCATGCTGGACTGCTGTCCTCTCTGTGTTTTTTGCATGGATATGATATAAGGGTAAGCTCCAATTTTGCCATGTGATAGGCAGGGTCCATGAGAAGATGCCCACTGATCTGGTTTGAGATCCATCTATCAAGCCCAGATCTATGGAACCGAAGCCAAAAAAAATAATTTTAGCTGTTCTCAATCCTGTGGCCACTCACAATACTCTCTCTTCCTTTCCCACCTTGTCTTCTGTGCATTTCCTCATATGGCAGTCCCTCCAGCACCACTCAACGTCAACTTTGTTCTCTGGCTCTACCCAGAGAACATTAGACCTATTCTCCATTGTGCCCATTGTGGAGTATGTCAAACTCTGATGTCTCTGCAAGTATGCAAGGCTACAAGTGGCCAGAATGAAAATTATGGATGGATTTTTGCCCAAGTATGTACTAATATTTTAGAAAATCATCTGGTCTCTCATGTGTTCTAGTGTGCAAGGCACATGAGAACTGGGGATCCCAACAAGCAGGGTTTCAAGTGGTTAACAGACCCACCTCCCCCTGATGTTCAAGAAACAATTTGATCAACAGTCTATGCAGAACAAACCTTCTCTGGTGGCAATCTACCACCTGCTATCCCACCACCTGTCAACACTGGATCCAGTCAATGCCCCAAGGCTGGGTGAAAGGCATGATGCAAGCAAGGATGCTATTTTGGTTCCTGCAAAGCCCATTGTCAAGAGTTACAACATGCACATGGCATTGTCTGTGAGGTGCAAAAACACCCAGTTACCCTCATAGCCCAATCTCCATCCAACCATTTGTCAGAGCCAGTAGTCACTCTGGAAGATGCACCAGTACCTGCAATGACACCTAAGCCATCCAGACCTCCTGTGCCACCCACTCAAGCCTTCCATGGTCCTGCTACTCTGGGCACACATGTGGATAATCCTGGTTTTCTTCGGTCTCTCAGTGGAAACAAGATAGGGGCACAAGACTCACATTGCAAGGAGGAAGAAGAAGCACAGCATGAGTGGGAGAGGCTTTCCTGTGCCTTTTCAGTTGTTGGCATTGAAAAGGTACTTTCATATAATAATAATATTTCATTGACCAATGGCTAATATTGTGATAGGATGATCCAACTCATCATGATGGCCTTGTTGCCACCCACACCAGTAATGGTCTCACCACCTCTATCTGCAAATGGCCTTCATATCTACAGAAGGTCATTGCTAAGGAGTATCCAGATATGGACTACCTCAAACTTTATATTCCATCTCGAAAATGCTGGGCTATCTATGAACATAAGGCACCTATTGAAGTGAAGCAAGAGGAAGTAGTCTTCTTCTGACATGCTGGAGTTGGCAAGCATGACCGTCAGGTACTGGCTGCTATTAAAGAGCACAACTCAGCAAGTCTGCCCTGTGATTTGCATTGTGGGACATCTTCAGTCACCCCCAGCCCTCAAAAACTGGCCTGTCAAACACCTATCCAAGTGGATTCAGACATTGACAAGGTCAGCCAGAGTGCCTGGACTTGTCAGGGCACCAGCTCATTGCTTGGTCAAGAGACATGACTAAGCCTTTATGACATAGAAGTAGCTGGTATACCTTGGCATGTGCTGGAACCTGCTGGAAGGATTGGATGGTCAGGTGACCTGCTGTGCATGGCTGTGCATGACCTCATATGACCTCATCCGTGGTCATATGACCTGATCACCTGACTAGGCTGAGTAAGCAAGATGTTCTAGCAGGTTCCACCACAGAGGTATAAATATAAGGCCTACTCTGCCTGGGGACTGTCTCTTCAGACTTGGTCTCTTAGGATCATCCACAGGTACCTATACTGTAGATAGGTCTTAGTCATCAGGTCTGCTCCACTTCCTTGTTGCCTGCTTAGACTCTTGGCACTCTTAGGTGAGCAGACTTAGTCAGCCTGTGTTGCCCTAACAGCAATGAGCTGGTGCCCTGACACGAAAGAGTTGACATAGCTTATCCTCAAAGAGGAGATGCTTTTCAGACTGTAACACTGTTGGCATCTGGCTATAGTAAACTTGAATGTATTCATTATTTCTGCCTTCTTGCTGAGTGTAGTCAAATGAT